GACAGAAATTATAGTTATGTTTCCATTTCTGCACAAATTACATGCAATAAAACGAAAATGCTTTTTAAAAAGAGTGTGACCTTGTTTCCACACTGTCACCTCACAGCAAGAAGAGCCTGGGTTTGATCAGTGTTCTTTCTGTGAGGAGTTTGCATGTTCTCCCCGTGTCTGCATGGGTTTCCTCTGGGTACTCCATTTTCCTCCCACAATCCAAAGACCTGCAGTCAGGCCAACTGGAGATTCTAAATTGCCTTTGGTGTGAGTGTGTTTGTGACTATGTATGTCAGTGTGCCTGCCCTGTGATAGACTGGCGACCTGTCCAGGGTGTTTCCTGCCCTCCACCCAATGTGTGCTGGGATAGGCTCCAGCACCCCCTGCAACTCAGGAGGGTGAGTACATAAATAAGTAAATAAGTGTTGTTTGACATGCTTGCAGTTCTAATTTCATGGATCTGCGGCTTCCTTGATTTCTGCATGACCTACTAATAACAACATTTATTTTACTTTATTCAACATCTGAATGTTAGAAATCACATTTCTCTGCAATATAGAGCACTTCCTATTTAGAAAGACTGAAGCCTTTTTTGGACATCTCTCTCTGTAGGAGCTTAAAGGGTCAGTATTCCTTTAAAAAAAGGCCCTCCTCTTCTTCTACATCTCCACCCTGCTGTTTGTGATTATTTGTGCTTGTTGTAAGAGGTAATGAGAAAAACTTGCATATAACACTAAATTTGGGAGTAAATTAAATAAGAAAGAAGCCATATTGTTCTATTATTTTTGTTGTGCTTGAATCAGAGCAGTCTGTGACTAGACTCTAACTAAAGCAGATCACAGCGTGCTGCATTCATTTTATTTTTTAATCAACAAATCTTTTGATTATTTTGACTAAATCCTCATTCATGAATAATGAGTTTGAAGAACTCCTCTACCCCTTTTTAACACCTGGATCACATGCTCCAAACTAAGCTCAGTACTCTCAAAACAATTAACACAGCAGATCAGAACAGACCTTTAGCAAAACAGTCCAACCACACTTCTAAATAAAGGGCTGCATTCTTTTCAGATAACATGTATATGTATATTAATACTTTATTAAGTTGCTCATCAGAAATCTTAATGTACTCTTCAAAGTTTTACTCACTCATGACTTTGAATAACTATTTGAAAACTCTGAGTCATCTGTAACACTGCCTGTTGCTGTTCTGTAATGTTAAATGGACTCTGACCTGATCCATTAACTGCTCCTAGACACTATTATTGCTGATGTGAGATGATGTCATAGTGCTTCTGTTTATCACTAGAGGGCAGTGTTGGGCCAGCTTCTTGACCCTCTGACACTTTCTACCACTGAATGGGTAACACTTTCCATTAAGGGTTGCAAGTTAATTGATAAGTATATGCTAATAAGTAATTAAATACTCATTATTCATATATTGATTAACTGGTCATTAAGCAATACTTACTGATTAAGTACTTAGTGATTAGTAATTTAGTACATTGTTAACTGATTGTTTAGTTTGTCCTTAGTTCACAGCTCAATTACAGCTTAATCACTTGACTAGTTAAGTCTAGTCTTAATTTCTCCCTACTTGTTTTTGTATCCTCTTAAGTAAAGTGAAAAATACACCTACATTATCAATTAACTTTAAGACTGTTAAATATTTCATACTTGCACATCTCATCCAATGACAGGTTGTTAAAAGATCCAAGATTGGGTTTGCATTGTATCACCCCAAAACCACCCTAAAATTTAAAATAATAAGATAATAGCGTGACAAATACTGTCAATATGTGCATATTTCATCTCTATGCTTTTAAAGGCAGCTGTCCTAATCATGAATTTAATAGTAGTAGTAAAGTAGTAAAGATCATCACTTTGCTTGAAGGGACACAAAAATTGAAAATGAATAATTAATCATTCAGTAACATGAAGTAAGGAGTAATTAATGGTGCAAATGTAAAGACAGCTCTGAGGACAGTGAGGCAGCTGAATATGTGGAGGTGAAGCAAAGTGTCCAGGAAAGACCAAGGACTGAGCTCCATATATGACTGTCTGAAAAGGCTTTGCAAGCACTCAAATTGGTATGTCACCTATTGCATCTGGTAGCTTTACCTGATACCTGATGGCTGGTGAATGTAGGTACAAGATAGGAGTGCCTTATAAAATGGAAACTCAGTGTACCCCTGCATGAAATTCTCAATTTCCAATTTCATCACACATTCACTTTAGTTCACAACATGTTAAACATAGAAATTCTATGTTTAAGTTTCACCAAATTACAAGAGTTTACAGCCATATATGCAGTAATCACAGTAATCATGTGTTCTCTTACCTATGCTGAAGCTGGACACACTGAGCTCTCACTGCATTATGCATGTTATCTTAACACAAGCACTGCTCTATGGGTACTACAAGTAGAAATCATGGACAGAATAGCAAGTTAATAAAAGCCTTGGTAATGAGAAATGAGTCTATATTCTATAACTGTTGGTGCTTTTCACATCCATTAGATATACTTTTGATGTTACATAAAAATATAGGAAGCAAGTATTTATTGTGAATCATTTTATGTAGCATGAATTCAGCAAAAGTGGGACATTTTTTGCTAAATAAAGGATGAAACCATCAGAAAATCTAAAAATGTCTTTTGTTGTCAGTTGTCACAAGCCTTTTGCTGAATGTACACTTGAAAAATATTTTTCAAAAATAAGTTATCTATCTCAATGAGGAATGAACTGCACCACATGATGCCCCATAATGAATAAAAACTGTCTTGAAGGGATTGTAGTTACCTCCATTTTGTTCTTTCAAAATATTTCTTAAAAATCTGAGTTAAGAATTATAATTTTAATTAATCAATTAATTAATTGTCAAAATGGTAATTTATTTAAATAAATAAACAAACAAACAAAGTTGAATAAAAGGAAAAACATTATGCAATGGGTTAGCTAGTTCTAGAAGATTCAAGGCCCAAAAAGTTACAAATGTATTGAAGGAAATGAAGTATGTTAACCATCAACTATGTTTCCCACTAAAATAGAGGATTCTAAAAACAATCAAAAAACCTTCATTGGATAGCACTATTTTACCGTATAGTAACTACTTAGTATTTTATAGGTAAATTGCAATACTTACAAGTAATGTCTGGTATATGGTTTACACATCTATAGTAATTTAGGTGAAAACTTTCATGTATGTACAGCTGCACTTTTTTATAAATATGTAGGGTAAATGTGTAGAACCTCGCAAGTTCAATATGTAAACACACAACATATATATATATATATATATATATAACTTTAAATCTACTTCAACATCAGTCTTTTACATGATAAATGATACATCACTTACCTGAGCAGAAAAGGAAAACAGAACAGCAGTGACATTATCCTTCTGCTTACAGAACTGGAGGAGTATGTTTCCATTTTCATTTCTGTCTTTAACTTCCTGGTTGAGTGTTTTGCTGTGGTTTCATTAAACTGTGATCCATACAGAGCTTCTCAGCATAATCAGGATTTTTACTCTGTTCTACATAAATCATCAACACATCAACATAACAAATCTCTGTATTCTCATAATGATTCAAACACTCCCAAATGGGAATAAGATGCTGCTGCAAAAGTGCATGGAGGAGGGGCTACTAAATCACATGATAATGGAACAGGCTGTAAAAACAGAAAGTAATATTGCTAACCAGGGGTGTTGTTAGGGGTGGTCCATCGGGGTTTAAGTCTCAAATGTTTTAATGCCAGCCCTGACTGATTTGTCCTGTCCAGATTTAAAGGAACCATATCATAGAATGCTGAATTTGCTTCTAGAACAGTTTACAGCAGATATTTATAGCAAACCTGCTGGACAACACACACAACATTATACACATTTATGTGCATTTAGCTGAATGAAGCTTTAGATGCAAGTTTTTATTTTAATTAAGGGATTTATTTATCTATAATATCTATATCTATGATCATTAAATAATTTAAAAAAGCATATTTTTTGTAGCAAGTACATTGGTTTTACAAAGGTAATTCTTTGTTTTGTTCTTTTCTTTAGTGCCATACACAGTCACAGTCATTCTCAAAGTGGTACTAGTTAGAGCATCCTAACTTTAGTGTAAAATAAGGCTGTCAGAAAATTTAAATAATTAATTCAGATTAATAGAATTATTTTTATGGTAAATTGTGGTTAGTCACATTTGACTTTAAAGAAAGATTTTTATTTAAAAAGCATCACAGTTTATCATGGCTACAGGAATGGACACAATAAATATCAAAATATATTCTTATATTCTCAAAATATGTTCTTTCAATAATTCTACAACATTATTTTCATCATATGAGCATAAAGTTCACATGCAGTTTTCAATTTTTATCACCGATATTCAGTGAGAGCAAAAGTGACTATATTCTAACCAGGCTATATATAATATATATCAGAAAGAGTAGGGTATAATTAATAGTATTCGTACTAATTAAGGTAATAATAATAATAATAATAATGATAATAATAATAATAATAAGAAGAAGAAGAAGAAGAAGAACAGCAATCAATTTCTCGGTATCTGGAGGAAATTGGATTATTCAAACATGGTAGAGTTCTTATCTTAGCTATTAGAATTTCTGTGATACACACACAAACAAGCATCAAACATTCATAAAATGTAATGCAACTTGTAAAAAGGGTGATACTGCATAAAGAAAAAGAGAGAGAGAGAGAGAGAGAGAGAGAGAGAGAGAGAGAGAATGTACAAAGTAAAATAAACAAATTGAAGCAAGGTAATATGAGTAATTTAACAAATATACATGTATAGGACATACTAAGATTTGTCCAGCAAAAGTAGGTAAAACATTTTACATGTTCATATGTGCATTTGTAAAAGCTGATTCTACAGTATTGTGAATTTACTGAATATTTTTAAAAATTCTATAAGTAAATGTAAAATTGTGGTCACTTCAATAAAGACTTCTGTTGGCAAGTGAACAAATTACATACAAAGAAAATATAAGAACAGAGATTATAAGGAATTTATTATATTGTAAGCAATTTTACATGTCTCAGAACCATATTATCCTACTTTGACTTAAAATTCAGGTTTAGAACTCCATCTACATAAGTCTGCATGGGTTTCTTCTTTGTGTTTGTGCAAATGCAAGGCCCTCCTCAAATCCTTTTTGTCTTGCTTCTTTAACTTTTTCATCTAGTATGGCACAAAATTCCTTCTCTACCTGTTCTCTCACTTCTAGGTCTGTTATTCTTTTAAGAGAAAAAATTTTTTCGCTCCACTTATACTCCTGTTCTTCTCTCCTCTTCTCCTCCACCTGCTTCCACCTCCACCACTGTCTCTGCTGTCTCATTTCATATTCTATCATCTCACTTTCAATTTGCAGTTCTCTGAATCGTTGTTCTCTTCTTTCTTCCTGCATCTTATTTCTTATGTTCTCAATCTCAGCTTCATATCTGACTCTCAGTTCTTTCACTCTCTTTATCTCCTCCTCTCTCTCATTCAGTACTCTCTCCTGTTCTTCTTGTAGGGCTTTCTCTACCTGCTGGAACATCTCATTAGTGTAGCAGTTCCCTCCATTCACTGCCACCATGGAGTCAATCTTCTCCAGTAGATCAGTGACCTGGGTTTGGTCTCTGGTCTCCATGTTGTTGAAGACGTGGTATCTGTTACCACACTGTTCAATCAGGCTCCTAATATCAGATCCAGGTTCTCCAAGATAATCTTCAATGGACATCTTTCCAAGAAGATCTCCTCCAGTAAACAGCACCATGGTGTATAATACAGATCTTTTACCGAAAATGTCCTGAATTATTTCCACTACTTGTTTTTCTTCCTTTGAAAGTTTCTGTGCCACTTTCAGTACCAGCAGGAACACATGTGGACCTGGAGCTGCCATAGAGATGCATTTATGATTTCCTTCCTGATCTCCATATTTCCAGTCAAACAGTCCAGGAGTGTCAATCACAGTGATCTGCCTTCCATTGACTTCAGCTGTTTCCTTCTGACACACTGTGCAAACTGATTTAGAGGAAAGATGTTGTCTGAATGCACCTTTTTTCCCTAAGATGGTGTTTCCTGTGGCACTCTTGCCTGTGCCAGTCTTCCCCAGCAGCACAATCCTGACAGCATTACCGCTTGCCCCTAAATGAAAGGCATGAAAATGCGAAGAAAAAGAGATCTTTGAGTCATTCCATTAAAGAGTGCTATTTGAGTCCACAACATTCAATACACAATGTATATGAGAAAAATCTGAACAACCTGAAATATATTCATTTATTAAGTTCATTTTTAATGTAGTGTACAAATTGAGGTTTTATTGAACTTTCATCTAAACATAACTAATGTCTTTCCACATCAACAGTTCTTTAATATAAAAATATTAAATTAATAAAATGATAATTAATCGTGCTTTCAAATGTTAGATACATGTTAGATAGCAAACTAGTCAGTCAGGTTAACTATGAGCTTGGGATGCAAGTGTTACTGAGTGTCAATGGTCTTATACTCCTCTCAGTGATTTTCCCTCATAGATATTCCACTCAGTTTGAGCCCTCTGAATCTTTCAGAAACATTTCCATTGTATTGTGACTGCCTTTGCAGCATTTCTGAAGTTGCATGTGTTTTCTTTATTTGTAGTGCATTTGTGAAATGTAGTTCAGGTGTCATCATTTTGATAAAGTGCTTTCTAAATTGGAGAGTGTCTACAAATTTGCAGTGTGTTGTCATTTTGATGAAAGTGTTTTCTGCATTTTGCAGCTCATTTTTTGTGAAAAAATGTTCTTGCTATTTCTACAGAACTACTAGACGACCTCCTCAGGATGGAAGGCAATGTCTTTTCACCAATAAAACGAAGTGGCCATTGTCAATCTAGTGTAGGCAAACAACACCCTCTGCCTACATCAACTTTGAAGGCAAATCATCGTAGATCACAAAAAATTTCATACCATCAACGATGTCAGTATATTAACACTCTGTTAACACCGAGTTACCATGAAGCAGCTGTACAGGGTTCCATCTGAGAGGAACAGTGTTAGAGTCAAAGACCTTCAACATGACTATGTGCAAGTTCAAAAAGTGTTAAAAGAAGAGTTAAATTACCAGTCTCAGTGCCTAGAGAAACCCAAGAACCAGAAGAGCCCATGTTGTGTGATTCTTCACATTTATCAGCTGAGGAGAGGTTTTGTCGTTTGAATGGAGTACTCTGCTTGTATTGCGGTGGCACTGGTCGTATTTTACATGACTATTGCGGCCATCTGCATAGTCCTCAGGCGCCAATCCCTGGAAAGTGCATGGAGACTACTCCACACGCTAATGTGGTGAGTATTCCCACAAAGGGGGTTGGTTTCTTAGTCTTTCCTCATGCCTGTAACTGTATACTGTCAGAACATTTCTTCTGTTGTTTCAGCTCTGATCAACTCTCGAGTGGAGGGAAACTTCATTCATGCTCAACTCAACTCCTGTTTTTTAAACTGCTCATCCACCAGGTATTTAGACATTTTGGTTTCCCTGAAGACATCCTTTCTGATAGGGGACCTCAGTTCACATCACAGGTCTGGTCAGCTTTCTTTGAGCATGTTGGGGTCTCTGTTAGCTTGACTTCTGGTTATCATCTGCAATCCAGTGGACAGTGTGAGGGAATAAATCAGGAATTAGGGAAGTTTCTGAGGATCTTTTGCCATCAAAGCCCCAGTGACTGGTCTCGCTACTTGGTATGAGCTGACTCCCTAATCAGTTCCACTACTGCTATCATTCCAGTGTGTTTTAGGATTTCAACCACCTGTTGCCCCATGGACTGGAATTTCCTCTGACGTCCCCATGGTGGATGAATGGATGCGACACAGTGACGGAGTCTGGGAGGAAATGTATCAGAGGATTGAGGTAGTGCCCCGACGTAATAAGCAGCAAGTGGATGTCCATTGTAGTGACACTCCCTCCTACCAGCCTGGATACCGGGTTTGGCTATCCACTTCGGGACTTCAGGTTTGCTGAGGGATAGTAAGAAGTTAAACCCAAAATACACTGGTCCATTCAAGGTTCTTGAAAAAATTAATGACGTTATGTATAAACTTGACTTGACTTTACTCCTCGTTATTGTGATTCCTGTTCATTTCATGTTTCCCTGCTTAAACCTGTTGTCCCAGGTCCATTGGACGAGGCTTCACCTGCTGGTGCACCCCCAGTCTATGCTGTACGTCGGTTGCTGGACTCCAGAAGACAGGGAGGTCAGTTACAATACCTGGTCAACTGGGAAGGTTATGGCCCTGAGGAGCAGTGCTGGGTGCCTGCGGATGACATCCTAGACCTTGGTATGTTTCACCTCCTCTGTTTAATGTGACTACTTTAGTTTATAAGCCCGGGCTGTATATTAGTTTATTTGCAAGGTATTGCTTCTCCTAGTAGCACTACTGAGCATTTCCTGCCTGCAATTGTTTATTGTGTTTGACTCTGTTTCTGGATTTTCTGACTCTGCCTTTTTTGCCTTTGCCTTTTTTGGATCTGGTTGCCTTTGTTATGTTTGTCTTTTTTTGTCTTTTGGCTCTATTGGATTTGACCTATGCCTGTTCACTGCGATTCTTGTCAAGCCCTTTACAAGTAAAGACTCATTTCTGATTTTGTATTTTTCTGTATTACTCTATACTGTAATGGCAGTAATGACAGTAGATTGTGTCCTATTGCCACTGCATAGATACATTCAGACAAAGCAGTACATGATATAGGCAGATGCCCCCCCCCCTTCCAGGAGTGGGGGATTGTCTGTCAGGGGGGCACCAACCTTGTAGTTTGTAGTTTTGACTGAATGTGTCTGACACCCACCCCTAACCTTGTGTGGAAATATAACCATTATAGTCCCGTGTTTTGAGTTACACCATATTCACGGTATAGTGTGTGTATATTTTCTGTTACAGAGAGTCCTGGAATTTGATGCAGCTGCACAGCATCATGAGTTCATTTTCATTGATCAAGCTGGATTCAATCTGGCAAAACTGGACAAAGAGCCATTGTGAATGTCCCTGGGCAACATGGAGGAAATATCACCTTGAGTGCTGCCATTAGTCTGCAAGAAGTTCTCCATCACCATGCCACCCTAGGTCCCTACAATACTGCACACATAATCATATTTCTGGATGCACTTGTACAAGGTGGATCAGAGAAGTCTAGGTTTGTTGTCATCTAGGATAATGTTAGTTTCCATCAGGCGGCTCTGGTCTGGGACTGGTTCACCAACCACAATAACTTCAAAGTTTTATATTTGCCTCCTTCCTCCCCATTTCTCAATCAATTGAGGAATTATTTCAGCTTGGTTTTGGAAAGTGTATGACCAGCAACCACATGCCCACCTGCCTCTTCCGCAAGCAATGGAAGAGGCCTGCAGGGACACTGAGGTGGAGTTAGTCCAGGGTTGGATATGGCGTGCAAGGTGATATTTTCCCCATTGCCTAGCCAGAGATGACATTGCTTGCAATGTGGATAAGGTGATGTGGCCAGACCCTAACAGAAGGCGAGACCCTTAAACCATCCACCCCATCCCTTACAATCTCATAGAATATAATTTTTGTTTATACCACTGCACTCTAATTGTGCTGTCATTTTTCTCCATGAGTATACAGTTACATATTGTACTGATTACATACTGTACTGTAATTATATTTTTCTGTGTTTTTTCATGCAAAAAACTCAAGTTGTTTTCTGAAGCCTTTCTATTTTTGTATTCGTAGAAATGCATGTAGAGTTACTAAACTGGAACAATCTTTCACAGAAGCCTATATAAGAAATTTAAAATGTATGCAAAGTACCAAAGACAGGAGTGTCATTTTGTGTAAAGTGTGTTATTGCTGCTTTGAATGAGTAATTCAAATGGTGCATGTGTGTATAATTTTGCTGCAAAAATGCCATTTTGAATTAGGATTCTTAGGTTTACACTGCAGAGTTTCATTTTCACATAAATGAACAAGAGATGTTTATTTCCAAATGTGTCTTATTTGGCTTCTGTGTAGAGTTTTGACACAATGAGCCAAATTGCGCAACAAATGCGTAAGCAATTGCAAAAAATTGTAAGTGCCATATTTTTGACATACACATAGCATACGCAATGTGCAGCCAATTATACACCAGCTATAAACTATAATTTTGTTCCATAAACAGTGCAGTTTTACTGTTTGCCTTATGTTAAGTTAAATCATTGTTGGAGATAATAAAATTACTCAGTTGCTTAGTTTGAGGATACTTACACAGTTCTGTTGTTTTTCCATACTCTTGTTGTCCCAGTCCTTGGTCAGCCTTATTGTGTTCCACTGCAAGTGGAGAATCTTCAAACTCCTCATAGATAAGGCAGCTCCCTTCATTCTCCTTAATCATCTCCTCCATCATCTCCACAACTGCAGCACAGCTACATCCACTCAACTCTAAATGTCTGTTCCTGCATTCTGCCATCATCTCCTGTATGATGTTCTCCTGAACTGGATCTACAGGTTGTTTGTTCTGTGTTGTCAGCAGCAGGAGGTATTTATACGTCTCCTCTGATAGAGATCTGCAGATGAGATCCACTCGGATTCTGTCTGCCTTTATGAAGCTGCATGGCTGTAGAACCAGCACTATAACATGAGGTCCAGGAGCACACAGAGACATGCACTCTCTCACTCTATGAGTCAGTTCTTCTGCAGAGAGTTCAGGATCAAACAGGTGAGGAGTGTTGATGAGGGTGATGTATCTTCCCTCCACGTTTCCTCTGGCTCTCTCACTGTGCTGCTCTAATGAAGGAGGAGGAGCTTCAGTATCAAATGCGTCTCTGCTCAGGATGAAGTTTCCCACTCGGTTGATCTCTGAACTGTTCTTCCCCAGCAGAACAATCCTCAGTTCAGACACTAGACAATGATGGAGAAAGTATGATTTACTGTCTCAACATGCTTTACTATGTTATAATGACTGCTCTATTGAGGTTATTCTCAGATTTATTTAAATGTTATTCTTAACAATTTGCACTTTGTTAAGATGTCTGTGCTTGTTTAGTGCACGGTACTAAATGAGAAAAAATACTAGGTATTAAGATGAAACTCCTAGTTCTTAGATCTAAACATCCTAATAGAGTTTTATTGTAGTTAGTAGCTTCAAGGGCCATGAAATTTACTAAATGGTGTGAAACTTTCAGTGATATTTGTTTTAATCATTGTGTCCAATTGTTAGCATTTTTTAGCACTTATTCAACAGGGAAACATCCAGCTGTGATACCAAAGATGCAGTGCAGTCTCAATTTCAATGAATATACATGCAATGTAACTTACTATCGGGAGGTGGGGTCATACTTTTTCTTCTCCAAAAGTGTGAGGGATCTGCACCACAAGAACGAGATACATGTTATTTTCTGCTTTACTAAAGTTGCATAGCAAAAAACAAGATTTTCATACTGCTCACTTCAACTGACTCTCAGCTTTGTAGCTTAAATTAATAGCAGTTCCTGATTTCTGGCTGTCAGCTTTACCTCATATTTCTGTCCCAGTAATATGAAGTGATGGGTACTCACTGAAGCTTTGTAGAAATCTAAGATGAACTTTGGAATTTGGAAAACACTGTCTCTTCTCAAAGACTTTTGATCATAGCTCAAGTTTTGGAAGTTTTTTTTATTTTTTTTCTTTGGAAAAGAAAAGCCCTGTATTTTGAATGTAAGAGTGCTAATAGTTCTGGAGGGCACTGTACTGTCTCCACTGTGAATCACATAAACACTTTCAGACCCTGCACCACTGTTATGCTGAAATATTTAATTATATAAATAAAAATGTTCTGGTTATAAATTATTTATACTTCCTTGCCTAACTGAAAAAAAACAACTTAACAAAAAAGTTTCATTGACTATTTTATGAAGTTATTTAAGCAAAAAGTCAGAGTAATACTAAGTTTTAAGTTTTTTGAACCTATGAAGCCATCAAAGCTTTCTTTCTTAAAATGAAGACGATAAATTTGATGAACTATATCTAATGCACATCAGACTACACCAATAAGAATCTTTGGGCAAGATGCCTAGCATTACATTTGCCTACCGGTGTAACATGATTAAAGCTGTTAAAAACGTTTGCTCTTGATAAGAGCGTCTGCCAAATGTAAAGGAAGAAAAGTTCATACAACTCGAGTGTTTACCAGTAAGTTTTTGAATAGTTGCACTTCTTAGCACAACAAACATTCTTATTTGAGCTCAACTAAATATGTCTTATAGTGCTATCAACATAATGTCAGTCAGTATAAATAATAATAATAATAATAATAATAATAATGAAAAGAAAAATTAGTGCAGGACAATTAATACTATTTTTTTGTTGTGAAAGCTAAAATATTTTCTTCTGTTGTGTTTGATCAAACTCATGCAGTTCTGTCATTTCTGCATAACCTTGCTGTTCTGTTTGATCAGACTGTCCTGTTAGAACAAAAATAAACAATATTAGTTAAAGTTTTCTCAGTTTACACTGAATTTCACATTTCAGTTTTATTATCCCCCAAATTTACTTTCTACATTAGATCTGTCCATCTGGTAATAAATTGCTGTTTGTTTTTATAACACAGAAAGGAATCATTTGAAAGAGCCATCTTGCCCCACTATCATGGCAAGAAGCCCCTCTGCCTGAGGTATGAAGCCCCCTGGTGTATCTGACATCTATTTGTCATCTAACCCTTACAGAATCTATAATTTTTTTTTGTCAAATAATTTCCCGTCTTTGAATTTTTAAGACATAGTGATAATAATCCAGGTACAGCCCTAAAAATATTCTTTTCTAAAATTTAAATTGAGGCCTCTCTCAACATCTGTCTTAATGATTAATGACATTTGACAAAAGACAAAAGACAGTGAAATAGAAGCAGAAACTGTTCATCATGATTATGTACAGTTTATGTAAACTGTATTATTATTATTATTATTATTATTATTATTATTATTATTATTGGACGTATTGTTGTAATTTGGATGATGATTGTGATGTTTATCTGATCAAATAGTATTTTTCTGGCAACAGGCTAAAGGGAGGCTTTTGCTCTGGGGATTTTTTAGGACTAACTTTATATTTTTACACAAATGCCTCCAAAAACCATATATGTTGCTCAAAAAATTAGATCAGTTGACCCAAAAAATATTCTGGGCTTATAAATCTATATAAACTGCATCATTAATTAGACCTAGTAGTTGAATAAACAAGAAAAAGCTATTGGAAATTAGTAAAAAAAAAATTTCTTGTGATAGCTTAAACTGTTCCTTCTGTTGTGATCATACTCATGCAGTTCTGTCATTTCTGATTGATCTTGCTGTTTTACTCGATCAGACTGTCCTGTTAGAACAAAAATAAACAATGTTAGTTAAAGTCTTTTCGGTTTACAATGATGGGTATTCCTAGTGAATCTTGCATCTTTTTGTCCTCTAAGCTTTAGAAAATTTATAATTTATGTCAAATAATTTCCAGAGCTTAATTTTTTCAAAAATGATGTTATTTTTCAAAAGGCAACCCTAAAAATATTATACTATAGATTTAAAATGAGGTTTTAAAATTATATTTTAAAGTGAGACCCTTGTCAATTTGTTATAAATTGTGACAAAAAACTATGACAGCAAAACAGAAACACTTGAAATGTAAATTTTGTGAATTATCATATCAACATCAATTGATCTCATCAGCTACTGATATGTAAATTAAATTAATCATATTATTATTATTATTATTATTATTAGATGTATAGTGTGGATGTAACTTCCTAATTTTAGAACTTACATACAAATGCATGTCTATCAAGACGAGAAATTGCTTAATTTTACCCAATAATTAATATTGTTAACATATAATGCTAATGCTAGCTAGCCAGTGAAACTCCAATGAATAACTTTGTGTGTTAATGAAGTAAATACAATCAAATAATATATTTTGGGGTTAAACAGAGCTTTTTGTCTCAAAGGTCTAACTTTACATTTTCACTTCAAGAGAGAAAAAAACCTTTGAAAACCAAATGTGCTACTCGAGAAATTAGATCAATGGATGCCAGAAATATTCCAGGCCAATAAATCCTAAGAATGGTACATATCAACAAAATTTATACATACCATTCTGCTAATATGTTACAAACATGCTAATAAACAATATTTTAAAGTGCATAAAACAGGCTGCTTTAAGATGAAAAGAGTTAAAATGCTGACATTAGTCCCAACACCTGAACTACTCTGATTGGCTGTTATTTATTTATTTTTTAATTATTATCATTATTTTTTTTAATGAGATTTATTCATCCCCCCCTGCTCAGACAGATAACAGGATCAAATATGAAAAGAATAAGTATTAAAAGATGAAAAGGTGTAACTGAGGGCGTTTAAAAGTGAGATTCTGTCCCGTAGAGTGTGTTGATTTCTACCATGATCGTTGTCAGTCTTCTGTGAATTTGTTACTAACAAAGCTCTTTCAACAAAAGCTGAGAGGGGCTTTGTAAAAATGTCAAAGCAAACATCTAACATTACTTCAGTGCATCAAAGGTAAAACATGAATGGATCATTAACATTTTTTTCATGCTCACCATGGCAATATGCTTTACCTATGATGATAAGATTTAGGTTTTTAAGTTCGCTGTGTTGTTTTTCCCTTTCGCATCTCATGTGTCCGATTTTATCTCAGTCATGTTGTCTTCTTTGGGTCTGCACATTTGGCAGTTATCTCTACAAAGCTGGCCTACCCACTTTTTCACGAACCTACCAAAAAAGTCAATATGGGCATACCATTTCACAGTGGCAGAGATAAAGTGCGTACCACGCTGCTCAATTCCTATTGGTACTCAGCACATCGCTTCCCTTATTTGCATGAAGTTAAACTCCGCTCAACTTTGTCACGTCCAGACCATTATCCCCTTTCATGTAATTTTACTGTCAGTCCTATGCATTCTGCAGTAGTGTTCTCCAGACATCCACCAAACCCAGATTTATCTATCACATTGCTAGATAATGAAGTGTGATGCATCACTCCAAAGAACTTGTTTCCATGAGTCCAGTGGTGGCACGCTTTAAACCATTCCACCCAATGTTTGGCATTGCACATAGAAATTTTAGGTGTGTGTTCAACTTCTCAGCTTTGGAAGCTTTGAACACAACATTCACTTAAAAGGGAATTTAAAATTATTTTATTTGACAAATGATGTAACCCAGACCTTTCATTATTTAGTTTTGCAGGAATTAATCCAGGTCCATTACACATTAAAGGTGATCCCAAAGTTAATCATTAGCTAATGAAACGAATAAGCCATGCTACAGCCAGGAAAGTGTTATGTTGTGCTTGAAACTGTGTTTTAGTATCTTGTGCCATCGTCAATTGAGGCAAATAAGGACAATTCTCTAATGTTTACCATATATATGCTATGACTCTTAACCAATTGGCCCTTAATAAAGTTAAGTATAAAAATAAAGTTATCTGACTAACATGCTAATTAAACGTCTGCAGAGCCTTGATGTAAAATGATTGTTGCACTGCAACTAATTTTGTGCAGTTCACGTGAATGCACACTCTTAAAACTGAAAATACTTAAGTACGTTATAATGGTGAAAGCAGTTTAAAGTTAAATCATAATTCATATCTACATATCGTTTATGTTACTTTTTCATAGAGATGACAGTGTACTCTACTGTGATTTTACCCAGTCAACAAGACTAAAACATAAGCAGTTTAGATAACACATATAAAACGCTCAGCAACACTGTAGAATACTTACGGATATCAGACTCCATTTCGCTGAAGATTTTCTCCTAAGCCATATCCAGATTAAACTGTTTTGATGTTTAAGGGAAGGACTGTCAGGTGCTTCTCAGTTTCTGCTCTACACTGGAAGCTGCTTATCTGACTAAAGTTCATAAATTTACAACAGCTCAAAGATCACGCTTGCTACACCCATCATTGTAAACAACAGTCTGAACAGTGTTATTACATTTTATTTAATGACTTGAATCCCGAACTCCGCAGCCCAGGCCCTGCCTCCTGTTCCACAACAAGGCCGCTTGTCGGTCAAATCACTGATTGCTCATTGCCTGTGGGCATTTCTGAAAACGGACTGATGGTTGGTTGCCATGGTTTCACTGACGCCAAATACAAATCAGATCCTGCTAAAAATAAAAATCCTGCTTATTTTTATTTAATCCTGGTGTCTGTTCACAGTTTGTGATGAAAACACTGTATGATCTTTGCAATTACTGTCTATTGGCAGCGAAAGCATCACCGCTATTATTCCACATCTAGTAGGAACAATTATCTAGGATCCAAAGGGCATACCATTTCACAGTGGCAGAGATAAAGTGCGTACCACGCTGCTCAATTCCAATTGGTAGTCGGCACATCGCTTCCCTTATTTGCATGAAGTTAAACTCCACTCAACATTGTCACATTGCCAACATCTGTGCCGCCTCCTGTCACCAGAAACTGCCACCTCTCACTGGTGTGAACACAGGGTTAAGTTCAATCCAGGCGGCCAAGCTGGGGAGCGGGGAGGGGCGCGGTGACGTGGAGAAAAAGCAAAGAGCCCTCTGTCCCTCTCGACTCTCAAGCTCATGCTGCCTTTAAAGAGTAACTACGCCCCACTCTTTTCACCCACCCCTGGTTCAACTTTGAAAAATGCTCAAAAATGGGAGGGGCACGCTGGGAGGGGCACTGCAGTGATATTTGGGTTTGGAGCTGGAGCTGCGAGGGAAACCAGGCAGGCCGGGCTGCTGTGTTTTTATAGTTAATGTTAGCTACCAGAAAATATGGAGAGTGACAGAATCAAATAGCACTTTTGCAACATACGAGGTTGACGATTTCTCTGTACTACTGTCTCCATCTTCCACAAGGGAAGGTGTTTCTAATTAGGCAGTGCGTCATGAGCCTTAACAGTATGAGCCACTGACTCAAGTCGTCAAAGAGTTAATGTAGTGCCATATAAAAGTTAGCAGCGAGTGAGAGAGGCGTCCGAATGATAGAACATCCCCTAAAACCGTGACAGCTCACTTATAATTATCTGTTCAGCAGGTCCATGTTCGATTTAACCTGAATCCTGATATTTTTAGATGCACTGAATCCTGAATGAATAAAGTGGATTTCTTTGAACACTGTCTAAGTTTCATTCAGTTTGACATCAAGGTTGCAGACTGCGTCACCTGTCATCCAGGGTTTGCTGCAGTGGCCCTAAATCCCTACATTCTGCAAGCTGGTCATGGCACTTACCAGTGTTACATCTGATTGAGTTCCCACTAAAATTCACATTCCCCTTCATAAATCGAACCCTCAGGCGCCGCACTCACTGAACAGAAATCAACAGCAAGCAGCACTGGAACTACGGAAAGAGAGAAAAAGATCGAGAAAGGCTGTATGGACGAGAGGTTGACACAGTCGGTAACAATGACCATTTAATGTTAGCCTTTCCTGAACCGCTTCGCTTTCGGTAGTTCCAGTGTTTCTTGCCATTGATTTCTGTTAAGTGAGTCACACGCCCGAGAGTTTGAGTTGTGAAGGGAAAGTTGTGAATCGGATGCAACACCGGCAGCACAGCATTTACAGTTGGTACAGACAGCTGGCATATTGCAGCCTTGTAAGGTGGTGCTGGGGATATTTAGCTCATGGAGTGAGTGTAGTTATCTCCTCACTGTAGGCTCTTGTGTGAGTGCGGCACAAGTAGGGCGTTTTCAGGGGGTGGTAAAGTTGGTTGACTGATTCGCATACTATGACATGTCATGGTACTTTGGTACGAAGACACGTCATCCTATAACAGCGCTTATAGCACTTGAACCAGAGGATGCTGCAGAGGTGGAACTAACCACAATCAAAATGATATTTTTACAGTTTGGAAAGATGTGTTCATTTTAAGCAAGGCTGGTATATTTATTATTACAGAGCAATGCATTTCTACCTTGCCCTGGAGGGAATAGATAATTAATTGATTAATTATTAATTAATTTGAGTTAACCTTTTACAGTTGGTACGCACATTTTCTTTTATTCGTGGTCATGATTTCTTAATTTGTTCCCTCGCTTTCTTTTAATCGTATGCACGTCTTCCTTACTTCGTGGGTATGTTTTTTCCATTCGTGATGATGATTTTCCAATTTGTTCTCTCGTTTTCTTTTAATCGTGGTCATGTTTTATTTTTAGCTGAACGCATGTTTGTTTTTTTTTTATTTGTGCGCGAACAAAGTAAATGTAGTAGATATAGGCTGCTAACAGCTCTCCGATATTGTCTGATGGATTTTGATGTATTAGATTGATAAGATAATGAACAGAGATGTTCATCAGGTTTAATTTTGATTTGGGAGTTTATGAGGACACTGCAGCTCACAGTGTTTCTGCTACCACGTCAAGCTGTGGTGTTAGAGACCATCACACAATTACAGGAAGAAACGATCAGCGTTTCAACATCCTCACATTAACATATCTACATCTAATCCATAGATCTATTACACTCTCTTGCCATTTGACCTCATCCCACATGAATGTTTCTGTGTGTGTTTAATTTGAGTTTGTTAAAATGTTGATGCTGATCATTTTTTCCTGTAATTGTGTGATGGTCTCTAACAATGCAGGGAACGATTTAAGAAATCATGACCATGAATAAAAGAAAACATGCATACGAACTGCAAACATTCACTCAAATTAATTGTTTTTTTTTTAATTTATTTTTTTATTATTATTAATAATAATAATTATTATTATTTTGTTTTTACCTCCGATGGTGATCAGCTTGAGTGTGTTTAAAAACAGTAGAGAGGGAACACCAGCAGCAGCAGCAGCAGCAAGGTAGTAAGAAATGCCTGCTTGCCCCCCTGGTTCCGGTGGACCTGACTGTGGATGTCTTCTTTTTTAAAAGGCTCTTTTTTTAAGCTTTTTTTTTTTTTTTAAAAAATGCTTGATCAGAGAACAGTTTGCTTTGGCCATATAAGTGGTTACAACTTATTATGTATCCTGCAGTTTTGTAAATCTGTTTATAGTATAATGTGAAATAGTAAACGTTGCACGTTTTTATACACTTAGATGAGGAGGATCTCTGCAGACAGTCTGCATAAGAGCTTTATGGAATGGGTTCCTGTATGTTATGAGGTCGACAAAATCTGCAAGGAGGATAACTTTATCTGTACCCCTCATATGCTTGCTCTGTCTGTGGAATTTAAGAACACAGCAAAGTATCCCAAAAATTGTAAAACGTCCCAATAGTCATAGGAAAAAAACAACCAAAAAAAAAAAAACACAATGGAATACATTTAGCATTTACATGGATATATATTTTGTTATTTTTTCTTTATGAACTGAAGCGTAGGCAACTTTTTGGAAGTGTGTTTATTTTGAAAAATCACAGCATTACCAGTTTTGTGGACTACATTCACCAAAGACTACACATATAAAATTGCATATTAAGGTTTTCATTTGAACCCTCAAACCAAGAGACTTGGAGTTGTTTAATTAAAGAAGTTAGCTCAAAATACTTTATTGTAATATACAATAAAGAAATAATAAATGCAATTTATGTAAACTTAATCTTACATTTAATCTATTTTATTTCTTTTATTTAATTATTTAATTCATTTAAAATTAATAAATAAATAAATAATAAATTCTACTATAAAGACATTCTTCTGTTTGTTAATTTACTTCCTGTGTTCAAAAATTGTACTGAAATTTAACAGAGAGTTCACTGAAAGGATAAATACTGTAGATATCTGGAGAAGGTGTTTGTGGAGGGGATGGACAGCCAATGACGTTGCTCACACATCCAGCAGCAGGTTGTATGAGGAGGTGCTGGAGCTTGCAGAAATGGGGTGCTCCTGTCTGTCCATCATTTACAGGAGAGTAATGTTTGCTAATCCACTGTTCATGTACAGACAGTTGTAGTAATAACGGAAACTTTTTCTTTATCGAATAGATTGTCCAGAACATTTTCAGAACAAGCTTTTCATCTGTTTTTCACACCAAAGCCCATCACTTGAACTGTGAGGTAAGTACACAGTGTTCTTTGATAGACGGTAAATGGTCTATACCACTTTACTCAATTTTGAGATTTTTATGTGTTTAATCCAGGTTAAATGGAACATGGCTTACCAAAAAAACACTGCCCAGCTAGCAAGGAACGTTCTCGTAACTGTGGCTAAGGTTACCTACAGGTTTTTATAATGTTTAAAAAAAACCTTTTAATCTGATGGTCAAAGAACATTTTAAGGATGTTTATCATTTCAAATAGTGTTCATATAAGGTTACTTGTTAGCTAAGACAATGTTTTAACTGCAACATTCAGAAGTTATTTTGTGGATGCTGTCAGGACCACATATTATGTTGCATGGTGATGCTTTCAGCATATTGGAGTTTCACTTAGAAAATAAAAACATTTGATCACAAAAAATCTTCACTAACTCAGAGATAAAGAAGGTAAAACATTAGTAATGTATATGCAGATGTTCATTGGTCTGTGTTAGAAGCATATTAATCTAAGGCTGCTGGTTTGGTTAAATACTGAACAATTACATCTTTTTATTGTGTGAAGAATTTCATTCCATAACACATTAAATGGCACTATTGTGATCCCACCCCATTATATCTGTTGTTTGGCGTAGGCTTTAGACATACAAGAAACTTCAGTGCTATATTATGATTAATTCCACCTGGAGGAGCCATAATATGCTGGAGTGTATGTGAAGCATATCCTGAAACACTAGAGGGCAGTATGAACACTTTTTAAAAAGTTGTCTGATAACCAGGTGCTGTGCAACACTTCACTGTGTTTCAATGCTGTTAAGAAGGTTTTCCCAGTTTTTGGCCTCTGTATTTCATGTCTCCAATAAGGGTTTTTTAGAATAGCCTGCATTTCTTTCTGTGAATTAACACAAAAAATTAGATACATGCAGTAAG